GAATTGAGGTTATGCTCCAGTTAGACATTGGTTGTCTGTGAAACAGTGGCAATAATGCTAGGAGTTTCTCTGATATGAAAACAAACTAGACTTTGCACTGCATATTGGATTAGACCTATATATGAAATGTTTATTATAAAATTGATAACACCAATAATAGCTGCTGCTCTCAATAGTTTTCTCACTTGACTTGCATTGCATTCATATCAATTATTTACTGATTTTCAAGCTACTCCCTTTGCTGCTGCTCTCTTTGTGCATCTGCAACTTCGGTCTATCTGTCTGTCCGTCTGTCTGTTTCTGGTGCCGGGTACAGTGACAATAACAGCCATTAAGTCTGACCAACACGTAACCGGGCAATAAACAAACGTGACAAATGATGCCGCTAAATGAAAGTTGATTGCCAGTTGACGGCCACACCTGTTTCGACTGACTGCAGCCGTGGAGCGAGCTGAAGTTGGCGTTATACACCTGGCCAGCAGTTGGACAGCAACCTGGACAGCAATCAAAACTGTCAGGCATAGTGAGACAGAGAGAAACGCTGAGGAAGAGAGTAAGAGAGGCATTGGCCAAAAAAAATCACAGCACGAACGCAGCCACGCAACGGAAGTTAGCGCAAAATCAAATGTCGCTCACATCGTTCTGGGGCCCCATCCTTTGTCCTGGTCCTGGCCGGGTATTAATAATGATGGCGGTACGAACAAAACGCAAAATGGCCGACGCTTTGGCTGTCGACGTGTCGCAGTCTGCGTGTGACTACAACGGTAGCGAATTTCTGCACTACCACGACAAAGGAGCCATTTGGGAGCTGAAAACGTATTCGACATTTTTGTCACCTCCCCTTAAGATCGCTGGCAGTCCGCGTACGCTTTCAGATTGCATCGTTGCCAGGAAGTCTACCGGGGTCAGCAGCAAACGTCCATTATTGTATTCCCTGCTCTGTTTATTGTTGCTGTTGCTGTTGTTGTTGCTGTTGCTGAGCTGTCGCATTGTCACATTGAATTCGCTCGTCTTGTCAGTCGATAAAAATTGAATAAGCTAACAGCAGGAGCGAGGAACAGCTGGAGAAATCGTCGATTGTAACTGGGCATCTCTGGGAGGAGATGGAGGATGGAGGCTGAATGCATCGCAGACAGCATCTGATAAATGCACTGTAATGTGTCATGTGGAGCGTGCTTTAAAATTAATTTAAATAAATTGAAAATGAATGGATGAGAATATCTGCAGTGTGGAATGTGCACAATTTCAGTTAGTTTGATTACATACCTATTTCTTTTCGTTGCACACTTATCATTTCTAAGGTGGAATACGATCTCTTTGCTCAAATCCGGTTAAATTAAAAACTGAACTCTTTTCTCACTTTGAAAGTAAATAAAATTGAGCTGTGCAAAGTCCAATTAAATGCCGCAACTAGCTTTAACTTGTTGGTATTTAAAAAGTACCACAGTCTGTCAGAGACAGTTGAGACACAGTTGACACTTCCCCCTCCTCTATCTCTCTCTCTCTCTCTGTTTCTATCTCTCTCTCTCTCTTTCTCTCTCTGTGTGTTTCTCTGTGGCTCGTTCGCAAGTCATCCAGGCGGCAAACAAATTACTAATTGGCAAGCAAAACGCTCTGCTTGTTTTCCAACAAACAACACAACGACCAGGTCTTCTTTATGGCTTGCTGTGGTGTGGTTGGCTCTCGTCTAGTCTGGTCTGATGTGGCACTCACACAAACACACTCAACGAAAGGATGCAAAGGTGGCACTCATATGGCACACAAGCTTCATTAACTCAAACTATGCTGCATATTGCGATTATCAAATTGTCTTTGCACACATGAAGCCAATGAGGGGCTGCAGCCAAGCACTAAGCACTGAACACCGAGCTCTGAGTACTGAGTACGGAGAAAACCAGCAATTGACGTCTGCCGACTGCTGGTGGCAAATAGCAAGTGCAAAAGTTACCAGGAGGTGGTCGCAAACCATGGAAATTCAATGGACAAACTGGTAACCGCAGAAATATGAAGCGCACTGTGCGACGATGACAGCAAAAACATTTTATAGATGGTACAATGCCGGCGATTAGATACCCTTCATAATATATATACCAGATGTATGATATAGTAATCTCTAATTAGCCAAGAACTGAAATCAAATATGACTTTCAATTCATTCATCATTCTTCTTTGGCATACTTGACAGATATTAACTGAGAGAACAGCAATATCTGCAAATAATCCCCTGCAATGCCAAAACTGGAGTACTCTCGGTGAGCGTGTTAAACGAACAACAGAGCAGAGCAGAGGTGTTGTCTCTCTGTGGCTATAGAAAGTAGAAAATCCCCAACATGCTTGCGGATATTTTGTTGAGCTAACAGCCAAAAAGGCACGCAGCAATGCAGCAGGCGATGTTGACGATGCCCCGGCTGGTTGCGACAGAGTGACAAACTGACTCGACTAGACACACCGACTGGACACAGACCCGAAACATGCCACATTATAGCACCTGATGGCGATTAGACAGTTGGCACTGTACTTAAATTTGCGACGATTATTCGATTGTGCATTAAAGTTGACTGCAAGAGTTGAGCAAGTCCAATTCTGGTGCTAAGCCAATTGATTGGCAGTAAGAGTTAACTGACCTGTTGATTAATGGTTATGCCTGGAAGACTGCAACGCGTGAAAGTCAATCAAAGTAATCAACTTAAGACTTAACTTAAATGAGTGCATAAATTAAGTCAAATTACGCTTGTACGGTTCTGACAAAATACACCTATCGAAATTAAAAAAAAATAGATATTGCAAAGCTACACAAATCCACTAAATTAGAGCAAATTCAAATACAAGTGCAGTATGCTCTTTGTGAATTACGTGCAATTAAACTCGAGTATCGAGTTCTGAGTTGGCAGTATCAAACTAGCTAGCCCGGTAACTTTAACCGGACCACAGAGCGGAGGATCTGCACCACTTTGAAAGCCCTGCTCAGTTTCTGTTTGTTGCTTTTACTGCTGAGGAAAACAAAAGTTTCGCTAATGCAAAATGTAGGTCACTGTGTTGGATTGCAGCAAAACTTTCCAGGCAGTCCGCCCCACCCCCCATCTACGAATTCTCTGCCCCATCATCTTTTGCATTTCACTTTGTTATGTGCAAATATTTTCCATTTAATTAACGCATGGAAACTAGCAGTAAAGCTAGTTTAGGCGAGCGACACAGAGAGGGAAGGGAGAGGGAGAGGGGGGAAGCGAGGGGCATTGTGGGTTTCTGTCGCAGCAGATTAAAATAAATTGCACAGAAATTTATCATTCGAATCTCAGACGAGGCAGCAACAACAAGAGCAGCAATAACAAACAGCTTGACTCAGTTGCAAAACTTGGCAAGAAAGTGGAGCTTAGGGTCATTTTGTATATGTGTGTATATGTGTATGTGTGTATGTGTGTGCCGTGTGTGTGTTTGTGTGTGTTGGTGAGTTCTTGTAATTGTGTGCTTGTGCCATAATTAATCATAATAAAACCAGGGACAGCAGCGAACCAGGTAAATGCGAGCGCAAGGAAACCAAACAAAAAAAAAAGGCCGCACTTTTCCAACATTTTCTTTGCCATCAAAATAAATGAGCCAATTAAGCGGACCACAAGTGAAAATGGCTGCCAAAAGCTTCCGTCTCCTGATGAGGGTATAGCCCCAAATCGTTGCAAGACTTTCTCGAGACTCGAATCCTGCTAAATCTGAGGTTCAGGTGTTGCGCATCATAATCAGCCCCTTGGATTTGCGACCTAATTCTCTCTCTCCCTCTCTCTCTCTCTCTCTCTCTCTCTCATACACATTCTCTCTCTTTCGCTCCCTTATATCTTAGCGCCTTCAGCTGAAATTTATTTATTTCTCTCTGCTATTCCCCTGCTTGTTGTCGTGTCGTCGGGCGTTGACTGAGGTTAAGTCGTTTGAAAATTTGCTTCTAATGAAACTAAAAGAGCCGCTAATTGTTGCACCGTTGTCAACATCGCAACGTTGGCTTTCAATGGGCTTATCTAGTTCTTGAAATTTGCTGCGGCTGCTAATTGAAATCAATTTGCATTGAGCGCAAAAGTTTATCAACTGGTTTGAATGCTCCCCTGAACGATCTGTGGTTCATAAATATGCATAAAGTTGATGACGAGTGGATAATTATTGAAAACGCATCTTAACTCGATGGAACATGAAAAACAATCAGAAATCATGCTTCCAAATTGTGTTGCAGTCTTAATACATGTGGCCAAATCATTATCAAGATAAAAACTTTTAGTGATTTGCAGCTACTGATAATTTTATTTATTTATCTTCTTTTTGCGTAGGCACTGGTTTAATTCCATTGGTAAGATATAAAAAAATCCCCTACTTTTTTCACAGATATAAACTCATATGTGTATTTACACAAAGCCAAAAATATTATACTCAGCGTATTACTTGAAAGGTGCCAAATTTTGTGAGAGGTCTCTTGAAAATATCAATGACGAAGTGAGTTATGCAACAGCAATAACTGGTTTTTAATTAGGGGCTTTTTCTCCAATATGTACTCATATAAATATTAAAAGACGCTGATATATTTATTGCATATGTTATATGTATTGTATTTTATTTATTTATCTTGTGTATTGCTACGCTAGTCACAAAAGAGCTCATTACAAGTAGGTTATGGACCAAAATGAACATATAAATATAGCTGCCATTAGATGTGGCTTAATGCGTTAAGCTATTTCATGTAAAACTACATAAATTTCAGTTAATATTGAATAAGCAATTTAAATATAGAATAAACCAATCAAAATAAAGTATTGCTTATCGCATTTGATACTGTTTATATTAAAAAATCAATTTCCATCCTTTAGAATGTATGTATTTTTATTCGCCATCGCAAGTGATCTTTATCTTTGTCAACCAAGTAGATGTGCTCTACTTATATACCCTATACTACTTAAGCCATTTAGTTCAGCTTAAAGACCATTATGTTGTACTTAACGACACAAAAAAGAAATCTAAGCAACAAATTAAATGAATTGTGTATCTTTATTGTCACTCATCTTTTTATTATATGGTATTTATTATTTTAAATTTATTAACGAGCTTAAGCTATGGTACACTTAGAAACTAATTAGAACTAAGGCACGTAACTACGGACAAATCTTGTGGCAGCTGCTGGCCAACTTCGCATGCAGCACTTGCTGGCTCTGTTTGGCTGCTTCCACTTGTGACCACTTTATCAACGGCAACTGTTTGTGGTGCCATTGTATTTGCATTTTGCTGTTGCTTATTCTGCTGCTGCTGCTGTTTCTGGTCTATGCACAGCAGATGCAATCGGTGCTCCTGTTCCGCTGCACGGACGACCGCAAGGGCAACGAGGGTGCCAAGCAGTGAGCCGGCCACAACATCCGACCAATGGTGTTTGTAATCCATGACACGGCTAAGGCCGACAAATGAGGCGATACTGACGCACACCAGCTGGCACAATGGACGCAGCATATTGTCAGGCAGTGTCCGGCGGATGCGCTGCAAGTGGAGCGCCACAAAGACCAGACCATAGAACGCCATACTCGAGTGACCGCTGGGAAAGGAGATGTGCGCATCGAAAATCAATTCAGTATCAGCGCCAGAGACACAGGTGTAAACGGTGTGGTAGACACCGCCCTGCCGATGGGCATCGTCGGTGCAGAAGCCGCCATCGGCCAGTTGCGGACGACAGATGTCAAAGAAATGTGGACGTAGTCTACCAATTGTGTGTTTGCCCATATTCTTGAGCACCGAGCTTGCAACATGACCAAAGAGAAACCAGCGCAGCGTGTTGTAGACCGGCCAGTATTGTTGCCACTTCGAATCTAACGGTCGCCTGCAACGACAGCTCTCCAAGATGAGTAGCAACAGCAGCGGCAAATACAAGCCCAACCAGTGAAGCATGCTGGACGAAACGGTGTTCGAGTGATAGGGATACATAAGCGACTCATCGTCACAGAAGAAGCCACGTTGCGTTGTCCAATCCCAAAGTTCCTTAAAGTTCTCACTCAGCACGAGCAGGATGCCCAGCAACACCACATCCAGCAGCGGACGATGCACAGCTGGCCAGTTGAGTCTGAGACCGAAACTCATGTTTTGTTCGCTTTCACGGTCCACGCGTCACTGATCACAGCGAGAAGTCGAGCTCAGCGTTGAAGCTGCGACTGAGATTCCGAGACTCCAATGTTCTCCAATTAAATTGTTGTTGCAAGCATCTCAGCAATTTCTGCTATTCATGTTTATTTAAAAATAATAAATGTGAAATGTGGGACATGTGAAATGATGTACACTCTTTGGATGGAAATATTTATTTAAATTGGACTAAAGACAGTGAAAATATTTTTAAAAATAAATAAAATTAAAAGGGAAAAATAAATGTTGTCTAAAAGCAATCCTTAGTATTTTGAAAAATCGTCAATTAATAAAAAGATTCGAAATGAATATTGACAGTATAAAACAGTTTACATTTTGTGGCCCAAAACTTTAGTCATCTTGGTAAAATCGAAGCAAATTTGTATCTCTATTATAATGTCGTAATAATGCCATTTTTATTTATGCTGCTTATAAAGAAAAACTAATTCATATGAATTATTCTATGATTCTTATTCAGCTGCCATTAAAATTGTTTTCTTCCATACAAAAGTTTGGAATGATTGTAATACCAGCTTTATATGAAGCTTTATTATTACATTACAAATATGATGTGTGTCTAAGTTACAGGATTGCTCAATAAATAATGACTCCCTCTCTGTACCACAATGAGAAATATACAATAAAATATGCAAAATGCGGGAATTTTTTCAAATCTTACATAATATAGTCGCAGCTGTGAGTAATTCCCACTAAATATGCTTGTTATGTGCTTGTTTTTGATTTTTGATTTATAATTCATTGCTCTGACGAGTCAACCTTGGCTGAACCTGATAAGCTGATAAGAGGCTGCAGCAAAAAGACGCACGTGTTGCGAACTCATCTCGGAATCGCTGTTGTTATTTTTGTCATCTGTCTAGCCCTGGAGGAGCACATAACACGCGAGTCTATTTATTGGCACTTTATATTTATATATAGATTTTTCACATTTCATTTGTATTCACAACAAGAGATATTTTAAGAAAGCTTCTAAAAAGCTGAGTTCATTAAATATTGCTCTTTAAACATATTTATTTTTGTTCAAGCAATTGGTTTACTATTTGTTTGCCTAGCAACACATTTATAATGACTCATAATGATGGCATTTGGCATGCTGCAGAGGGTTACCTACTTATTGAAGTTCTCACGATCATACAAAAAATACAAAAGCTTCGCCAACAACAACAAATATGAACATAAATTCAGCTTACTCTTTTTTGTGCCACTTGAGTATGACGCAGCACAAAATAGCTACCAAAATGAAAAGGTTCTTATACAACATTAAAAGAAATTAGAGATAAACAAAATACCTGACATTTGAAATGTATGAGTAAGTAAATAATATCATTTGATGTTTGTTGGATTTGGAAATTATGCTGATTAAATTATGTTTAGATAGATAGGTAGTGATTGAATGTGGTCCCATTATCTAAACACATGATAGACAGTAGTCACTTTATCTAAACACTGCTTAAACTTTAATTATATTGCCCCTATTAAGTAATTTGCTTGATTGCATGGTATTTTAAAAATGTATATCTACAACATAAATATCATCTGTGAGTCACAGAAACTCTGAATTCCCGTTGTTGCTGCTTTTGGCAAACAAATACATCAGCATGATTTGTAGAAAAGGTTAAGAGTTAAGATACAAAAGTGGAAAAGGTGAAGCTGAAGATAAATATAAAATAAACTTTTCAATTGAAAAGAATAATATATTATTTATATATATGTATTTCTATTATTATTTATTTATATATTTCTAGTATTATATATTGTTTGGTGACCCATTTTTGCACTTAAAAAAAATATATATATTTCTATTATTACCCTGGAAATTGAGTAAAAATGCAGCCAAGCGTTAAGTGTTTAAAAATTACTCATCGCCATTTTAAATTGTTTTTTCTGTTTTTTTTTTTTTTTAATTTATTACAAATATAATACGAATAACACACATATATAGATACAGATTGATGGATCTTAAATGGAGGCAAACAACAAATGAATGAAAACTTTACAAATGCAAATGCGACTACGACGACTACTAAAAACTAAGATGAGCTATACTAATAAAGTAAGAAAGTCTGAAAGTAATACTAAATACGTGGGGATTGTAAGCTAGATAGACATAAAATAGCTCTTCATCTTTTAATGCTTTACAGGTAACACATTTAATATTTAATTGGCTTTGGAATGTTTTCTTTAAATACAATTTGTTGCACTTGACGATCTCAGATCGGGTATTTAAACTTTGGTACAATATTGATCATCGCTAAAGCTGCCATTCACACAGTAGGGTGGCGGTGTGCTGGCGCAGACATCCTCCTGCAGCGTGTCCGAGGTATTCTGCCTCCGTAGTCCAGCCGGACGTACGATTTCCCGGTAGGATGGCTTGAACAGCTTGGATATGTAGCGAGCTGTAATCAAGGCGACTGTCACACCAATCAACGAACCGACCAACACATCCGACCAGTGATGCCAGCTGTCCATGACGCGACTCAGCGCCGTATACCAGGCCACCATGATGAGCACGAACTGCAGAAAGTGTTTCGCCAGCTTGGAGCTGCGCCAATGGAGCTTCCGCTGCAGATAGAGTGCCGTATAGAGCAGCGCATAGAAGGCGATGCTGGAGTGTCCGCTGGGAAAGCTGAGACGCGCCTGCCTCACATCCGCAATGGTGTAGCCCTCGCCGGCGCACTCATAGTCCTCCACATAGCGATGCAGATTGGCGGCATCTGTGCAGAGGCTGCCATCGCTCAACATTGGCTGGCAGACCGCCATAAAATGTGGCCGGAGTCGGCCGATCGTGTACTTGCCCACCTCGGTGGCATCGAAGGTGAGCACCAGGCCGAACATAAAGTAGGTGATCTGTCGACCAAATTCCACATACCACGCCGACATCTGCCAGCCGAGCACCTGCACCGTGGCAGCTAGCTTATCTTTTCGCATCATACGCACATACTCGACCACGATGAAGATTAGGGGAGGCAGTGCACCCGACAGTAGACCCAGCATTACCGGCGTCACCGTGTTCTCATGGAATGGATAGTGCAGGCTCTCGTCGTCACAGAAGAAGCCACGTCTCGCCGGCTCCACGGCGACCTCGTAGACTAAGACGGGTATCAACAGCACCACAAAGATGAGCAGCTCGATGAGGCAGCGATGCGCCACTTGCCGCTGTACAGCATTTGTGGCACATTGCACTTGGCGCTCCCCCTCCCTGCTGGCGGCTGCAATGTTCTCGTTGTCGTTGTCATCTCCATTGGTTATATCGTCGCGCATTTTGTCGTTCTCGTTTTGTTTTTTTTTTTTAAATTTTTAATTAGTTAATATTCCAATTTTTTATGCTGTCTAATTAAGTTTGGGTTGGTTGCTCTTTTTTCTGTTTTTTGTTTTTGTTTTTGGTTATTGTTTTTTTTTTATACCCGTTGGATTCGTTGTAGTCGTTTCGGGTTCGTTGTCAGCGTCTGACTGATCCGGCCTCGAGTGGGTAACGTTCTTTTAATTCAACGATCATTTCATGCACGACGGCTCTCCTCTCACATTGTTTTTCTCCCTCTCCCTCTCGCTCTGCCCGCCCGTCTCTCTCTCTCTCTCTCTCTCTTTCTCTCCCAGTGCGTCAGAGCCAGTTTATTACTGCGGAGCTTAGTTTCTAGTTTCTAGCTAACTGTAGGCGTTTTCTGCATAGTATTTCTAGATTAGACAACAGCCAATTTAACTTTGTATTTGCACCAGTTGGCAGCACTGCAAGAAAAAGCCAATTCAAAATTTGTTAGAAATTAAAAGTACATCAATAATTATTATTATTATTATTATTATCTATGTAAAATATCTAGCAGCGCAGGCAGGTTATTGTTAGGAGTGGTAAGTCTATCCACAGATTCTGTGATATTCCAATCTTTCTTAATTTTCTCTCTTACTCTTTAGACTGGGCACGTCAAGGCTCTCTTTCTCTCTCTCTCTCTTTCTCTCTCTCTCTCTCTCGCTCTTCAGAGAGTAATATATAATATTTATAAATTACTACAAAATTGAAGTTTAAAATTAAATTTGATTAGCTATAAAAGTAAAATTAAAAGAGTTTAACTAAAAAGTAGCATTAGATGTTCATCATATTTAATTTACTTAGTTTGAATGTTTATTTAACAACTTGAAAATTATTTACATTCTACAAGTCTGCGTTTTGGCACAGTGTACACAATGTGTGCTTGCCTTGATAACAGCAAGTGAGAAACTCGCTCAAGATCATTTTGATAAGATAAATAAAAGCGTGTTCCCGATGACAATTGCACACCGCCCACACACACAACACACACACACAACAGACACACCACACACACAACACACACACACAACACACACACCACAAAGGCGCACGTTTGTTGTGCCAGTTAAAGGTGTGCTATTTTGTGCAAATTCATTGATATTCAGCTTATTTCGAAACAAGCCGAATCGGTTTATTGGCACGGCGAGTGTGATAAGAATTACACATAAAACACACACACTTTCACCTACGGCGGCATTTGATAAGAGCCCGCTATTCTGGGGCAATATCTTGGGTGAATAGGCGAGTGCAGCGAGTGAGTGAGTGAGTCACTCATCAGAATACTGAGCGATTGTCTATTGTCTTGTGGCAATGATGCGTCAAATGGGCGCGTTGCATGCACCCAGTGCGATTTGCATTATCATCAGTTGAACGGCGACTGAATATGAGTTGGCTGCTTGCAACAACTGCTAATCTCTTTGCCACTTTCTGCCCAAGAATGGCCCCCATTGTGCGCTTTTGATCTTTGGCTGATCCCTCGCCGAAATGGGGGTGTTTCTTCAAAACAACAAATGCATGCGACAAATGCACAAAGTTGAAACAGTCAATCGTGAAACATGTGAGACTGCTCGACTACGAGATACCCTGGACTCTGCTCGCCCATCTTATTCTTTTCTCATATGAGTATGCTTCTTGCGCTATAACTTGGGTGTTTCTTAACAGATCCTTATGCAATTTTTACAGCTGATCAAAGATGAATCAAAGTATTTTATATATTAATAATAATTCTTATACCTTCAAAATGGTGGCTACTATTGCTATCGAAAATCGATAAATAAAATAAATAAATATGAGAAAGTATATTCCAAATTTGAGCTCGACTCGGATGTTGTTGCTGCTCAGGAATATGTATATATATATATACCTCATTGGATCGGTGATAATTCCTGCTGACTGTTTCAAGCTTTAGCAGCAAACTATTATGCCATTTGTAAACATTTTTTATGGGCTCTGTGTATGGAAAGACACTCACTCCACTCACATTCATAGTCATTCCCATATTCATACTCAGAGTCAGAGTCAGACTCGTTTTCGTATTCGTAGTGGGACGTCAAATGGCACGACCTTTAATTGAATGAATAAGCGACATTTGATTGAATTAAGTCTCTTTTTTTCTCTGTGTGTGACTGTGTGTATATCTTTTTAACATATGTATATGGGAACTATGTATATATATACATACATGTGTATTTGTTTATTTGTACATGTGGCGCTTACTTTGCCTCGGTTTGACTTTGTTGTTCTGCTGGTTAACCGTTGCTATTTTAAAATGCACTTTGAACTTTATGCACTAAATGCATTTCATTTTTATTGCCCTTTTACACACACACACACAGAGATGAGAAGCATTCAAAGTGCTTAAAGCTTTGCACTCACATTTATTTTATTTTATGCTATTTTACTAAAATAATTATTTCTTCAGGCGGGCAACCACAAAATGAAAATTCATCAATTTAAATCAACTTTTAAATACTGCTTTGATTTGCAATCACATATTATAGACTCATAAATTCTTTATATGCATTCGTCCCATTTCTTTCGCTCAGTGTATGTGCATACATGAGTACTGTTTGCTCCATAATGTAAACTGGCCAATTTTAATTAGAGTTGCTCGCAGTTTCTACTCACTTTAATTACGTGTTTAATGCTTGTTTTATGGCTTCTCATTGAAATGCTTAATTCTGTTTCCGTTTCAATATTTGAGTACAACTGGGAACAACTTTTGGTTAACGGCGATTGTTCAATTTTATGACGCGATTGTTTATTAGTTTTACGATTATTATTACCACTGTGCGACGTTGACGAGATGCCGAAGCCGATGCCGATGCCAAATGTAAACGACGAAGCGCCGCTAGACGATCACAACTGAATGAAAACAAATGCGGTGAAGCGCTGTTATTTGTTGTTGACTTTGTAAACAAATCGATCGGTCGACAACTTGTTGCTGTTGCTGTTGCTCTTTCGATCAGTATTGCTGAGAGAGCGTGCGTGTGAGTGTAGTGGGAGAGTATGTGTGTAGCTAGAGAGAGCGCAAGTAAATGCTCAACTGAGCTTGGCATTTGTTGTGTGGATCGCAAGCTAAGTGATTAAAGTTGATGGTTTGTAAACAAAACGCTGGTCAGATCACTTGTTGCTACTGTTGCAGCTGTTGTTGCTTAAGCATTGCAGGAAGCGCAAGAGAGAGAGAGAGAGAGGGAGCGAGAGGGACTTGAAGTGGGATTGCAAGTGAGCATATTGTGGACTGTGGTCATTCTGCACTTGCACTTGTTGTGTGGAACGCAAGCCAACTCTTTACAGCTGTTGGTTTGTAACTTGGCTAAATGTAGGTTGATCATTTTGCTTCTTCTTTTTTCTTAAATTTATTTATAGAAATTCAATTAATATTACAAGCTGTAACTGTAAATTTTTGTGTTTTTGTTATCTTGATAAGACATTGTGGCATTTTATCTTTTGTATACAGTTATAAGCAGATTTTATATACATTCGCTGTAATGATTTCGTTTTGCTTAAAGCCATAAATGGAATAAAATTATTTTAAATATATTTACAATTTATTGTGGCTGTTGGATATATATTTTTATTTATTTTATCTTACTTATATTTTAAGCTGTAGGAATTTTTGAGCGTACATTTTTGCTATTATTGCTGTACTCAATTGAAAGATGTTTGATTGATTAGATTTATTGACTCTGTGACTTGTTTATATTATCAGTTAATAGCCATATGTGGCCCGATTGTAGTAGCCAGCATAGCCGTAGATCTGTTCGTTTCTGGGCCACTGGCGTCGCTTGACCCTCACCTGCTTGAACAGGTGCGCCACAAAGATGGCCACGAAGGAGGCGAGCGCGGCGCCGGTGGCCAATCCGGCGGCGACATCCGACAGATGATTCTGATTGGTCGAGATGCGTTCCACACAGACAAACAGCGCAATGGCGGCACAGGCCAATTGGAGTGTGGCGCGCAGGATGCGCAGCCAGGGCGCAAAGAGACGCGCCTGGGCATAGTAGATGAGGAAGATCATCGCATAGCTGGTGCTGCTCACAAACCCACTGGGAAACGAGTGCCTCACCACCGACAACAGCTCCAACGAGGCAGCAAACTCGGTGCAACTATATTGCTCAATGTATCGCGTTGAGTTTGAGGAGCAGCTCTCCCTCAGCTCCGGCTCACCCAGCTCACCCCAGCTGGGCTGGCAGACATCAAAGAAATAGGGACGCAAGCGACCCGTCGAATATTTGGTGACTCGGATGAGCAGCAACAGCAGACCCAGGCCAAACAGATAGACACCGATGATCTTGTAGCACTCGCTAATGAAACTGGGTATCCTTGTCCCAACGAAGACGAATCGTTGCTTCAGCTCCTCCTTCTGTGGCACAAAGGCGGCACGCAACAGCTCCACAACCAGCAGAAAGGCAGCTGGCAACGCTACCACGGCAATGGTCAAGTGCACCTTGGTCAGCCAGGGCTGGCGATAAGGATAACGCAGCGAGGTATCGCTGCAGTGGAAGCCACGCTGTGTGGTCACCAGTTGCTGTGGCAACACAACAAGTGCCACACAGTAGACGCCCAGCAGCAGCAGAAAATCAATGATGAGTCGCGAAAGAAGTCGCGTATTCGGATTGCCGCACATTTTGAGACTGAAACGGCGACTGATGTTTTTTTTTTGGTTGGGCAGAGTTTCAACGCAGGGCAGGGCAACTGGGCAACTTGATTGGTGGCTGCTGGCTGGTGGCTGGTGGCTCGTGGGTCTCTTGCAGCTGCTAATTTACATCTCTAATGTGGTTACGACGTCCAAAAAAAAACTTGTTTCAAAACCCTCAGCGCTCAACTCAAAGTCGCCTCGACTGGAGTCAAGTCGACTCGTTCTTTTCTATTGTGCTATTCAGCTGAAAAACAATACTCAGTTCCAAGTCCAAATTGTTGCCGTTGTTGTTGTTATTGTTGTTGTTGGCATTCCCAGGCTATTTATCGATTGCTCAAGTATGCAAATCTTTATTAATTTATGCCGAGTCTCTTAGCCAGCTCTCAGCTCTAACTTGAAAGCATTTCAAAATAGTTTTGTTATCTTTATTTTTATATTTATATATATTTTATATGTTCCCCAGAATCTGTGGCCCAAACAAAAGCAAAAGTAACTGTTAAGCTTACGGTTTTTTTTTTTGGTCAAATTATAAATATTTGCTGACTTACAAATCTTTAATAATAATTTGGGATAATGTCTGCTGCCAAAATCAAAAAATATATACAACTATATACATATATATATATATATATATATTTTTATATATTTGTATTTTCTTCTTGCTTGCTCAGTTGCAACGCTAATGCAGTGTGCAGTCTTCGAATGTGCCACTTGGCTGAGCATGCGGCAAGTGCTTTGTGGCAAGAGATGCGCGCAGCTTGATAACTATCGATTTTAGGCACTTTCTAATTTCGCTTTTGAAAACAGCAGCAAATAATTAAACATTTCATTACTAATCATCCAATCGTTAATTATGATTAATCAACTTTCCATCGAAATAACGTGAAACACAGATTTGTTTTTACTTATTATTATTAACAATATAATATTGATTCGAATGCCTAATGCTAATAAAAAACAGATTTTCTTTCATTTTGTTTTTGAGGCTTCATAGAGGAGTTCTACGAGAGCACCTGCCTCAAGCGATCAACACATCCCCGATCCTTGAGCTCAGGGCACATAGCCGTAGTTGTGATAGGTTTGGGCGTATTGCGCCTGCGCCGGATGCGCTGGCAGATAGGGCAGGGTGCCAAATGTGTAGGCGGGCAGGGCGGGTTGCAAGCCATTGTTGGCTGCCACAACGGCTGCTGCTGCTGCCGCCGCCGCTGCCGCATTCGATTGGGATTTGGTGGAGCTCTTGGGTGAGACCTGTGGCTTCTTCATCAGTGTGTTTGCGGAGTAACCGGTCCGATTGCAGCGCTTGAAGGCAAACAGATCGGCAACATAGACACTCGTCAGCCAGGCAAAGATCACGCCAAAGATGATGCCAGCGAGGACATCGGACCAGTGGTGCCAGTAGTCCGTAATCCGGGTGAGCGACACATACCAGCCGAACATGACGAAGAGGAACTGCAGCAGATGCTTGAGCAGCTTGGAGATGCGTGTGCTGAGCGCCGCCTGCAGATAGATGGCCAGGTAGAGCATCGCATACATCATCATGCTGGCGTGTCCGCTGGGAAACGATTGATTCAGTTGCTCGTACTGAAAGTCCGTCATGTTCGCATTGCTGCACACATAGCCATCGATGTAGCGTCCCACATTCTGTGGCGCCTCGCAGTCGGTGCCATCGCTCAACATCGGCTGGCAGACGGCATAGAAATGCGGACGTAGCCGGCCAATGCACAGCTTTGTCAGCAGCGTCGCAAACGTGAGCATGGCCAGACCGAACAGATAATACCCTGCCTGCCTGTACACCTGCCCCAGACGATGCGACAAACGGCAGCCAGTCTCACGTTTCTCCCGGCCACCGGGCAGTGGCAACTGCTTGAACAGCTCCACGACAATGATGACGGCTGTGGGCACGGCGAGCGTGATACCAATGACCAAAGCAGTGCCAATTGTGCTCTCCCGGAACGGATAGCCGAGTGACTCATCGCCGCAGAAGAAGCCACGCTTGAAGGGCTTCACCAACCTGTTGAGCAGCAAACTGGCCGCTGTCAACGCGCCCCAAAGCAGCACATCGCAAATGCCTCGAGCCAATTTCGTGTATTTGGACATTATCGGCGAACTGATCCGTCTCAATGGTCTCAACTGGATGCCAAGCCGCGTTTAACTAACCCAACAATGACGCTTGAATATCTTGTGTGGCTGCTCTGAGCCATAATTCTCTCCCTCTCTCTCTCTGTCTCTCTCTGTCTGTCTCTCTTTGATTACGCTCTCTGGTGTTCTCTTTGCGGTCTGCCAGTCACATGAATACACAAAATACACAAACACAAATCTGGCTACCGTTTTGTGCGTGCTTTATTCGCACCCACAACCAGCCCCAACCCCTCACCCCCTCCCCCAGCTATCACCTCACAAATTGATCCATTGTTGCTTGGGAAACCAGTGCCAAGCCATAAATAATAATTGTTTATTTATTTAAGCATTTCATTTCGTTCAATTAGAAACTTTAAGCGACACACAATAACACTAAAAATATCCTATGTCAACTTAAAAACATTTGTATTCATTATTAATTGCACAGATATGTCTTTATACATCTATATATATATATAGCATATCGAGCTAAATCATATTCCACCCAAACATCTTGGCCCAAAACTGGTTTCACTTGGAGAAATTATTTAGCCATACACATACATATGTGTACATGTGTGTGTGTGTGTGTGTGTGTGTGTGTGTGTGTGTGTGTGTGTGAGGCCCACCTGCAAAAGTTTGCTTATCAGAAACTTGTTTATACACACACACACACACATAGGTCCTGCATTTGGTGTGATTCTCTCTTTGCAGCCGAAGACTTCACGCACCCAGCAGCAAACTTGTAAATGACATCGCCTTACCGAAGGCATTCTCTATGCATGCAAAGTAAATCAGTACCTAGTAATGCACAAGCATAAATATAAATATAAATATATATATATTAAGTATATATAAATTGGTTTCCAACTATTTCGTTTAATTATTGCGCCTGCGCAGCTTTCCTAGATTTTAGTTTTTATGGGTTTTGCAATTTGTTTTAGTGAAATAAAATATATATTTTAATGTTTATAATGTTTATATTTAAAATTGATCTATATCCTAAAATAAATTAGCAAATTTTATTTAATGTAAACTTTCTATATTTTTATTATATATTTATTTAACTAAATTTCAAAAATATGTACGACAAATTCTACGTAATTGGTGGTGTAATGTAACTAAATTGCAATAAATATATTTATACATATATAAATGTATATTTATATATATCTTTAACTCTTACAATAAGTAAGTGAGCCTGGAAGGTGCATTAAAAGCTTTCGGCAACGCATACTTTCAGCATGACAAAGTAATGCACCATGTAAAGTGTTTACTTACTGGTATTAGTCGAAATGGCTTGTGGCATAGATTACGCAGCGAATTGGTAATGTGTGCATTCAGTGCTGGGTGTCGGATGCGTGTGCATAATTTTGTTTGTGAGAGATTATGGTTTATGATGTGGAAGCGCATCGCTGTGCTGTTAAGCAAACCAAACGGTTTTCACCATTGGCTGAGCTGTTGCGGCGCAGCCAATTGCAAATGACTGGGCTAATGGGATTTTCGCTGTGGTCACTTTCATATGATTCATTCCACACGATCACACATCTCACAATGCGTGCTGTGACCCGGTCAAAATACAAAAAATCACGCAGCTCGGGAGAATCCGCACCTGAATCTGTTGTGACGTCAGTCGCATTCTGTCGTCTTTGTATCGTTTTTCAGCTGTTTGGAATGTTTTTGTGATGACGTTTGGCTACAGAGACAGAGAGAGATTGAGAGAGACAGAGAGGAAGAGAGAGAGAGAGAGAGAGAGAGAGAGCTTTAAAGCTCCGCTATGCGCAGCTTTTCCTATTCACAACTCATGCCGCTATTTATTTTTAATACTTTTACTAACTGAATCTTCGCAATTGGCGAGTTTATTTGTTTGGCTCGTTAAGTTGTAAAATTAATGTTTTTAATTTTGTCGTATTTGCGTGTTAATTTAGTCATTATGTTAATTGAGCTTCGTTTGGTTGACTCTGTGAATATGAATCTTTATGAGTGTTCATGATGAAGCTGTTTGTTTTTGGCATTAAATTATTTTGCATCATAGACGGAAGTCGATGCCTCCTTTTCTCTGCAATGAATTGCAATCTGATTAATCATTCAATTTATTCCCATCTTACTTATTGCAGATTTGTATGCTACTCAGCAGGCATCAACTGTTCTTAAACTAATAATTAGAAACGAAAAAAATCTTAACTATTTAACTATTTGTGCCATTAGCTCGAGTGCATTGCACGTGCAAAGAATTGAAATCAATTTATTTTCATTTCATTTCAATTGTACAATTCGAATAGAGTTAAGCGAGTTTCAATCTCTGCATAAATATATATTGTTTCGATTATTTAGATATATACTTAAATAAATATATTTTATTGCAGTCTCTACATAAATATATAATTATTTATACTTCTTATTGCACTGCTTGCATTCTGAGCAATAATTTTGCTAATCAGAATGCTTTGCATATACAATATCAGTAACTTCCTATTCCAATTGGCCTCTCAACGACACATTCCAATTGGCTAAGTTTACCCCTCACAAAAAGTGCACACACACACACACATAGACATGCCGTTAAATTGCAATTAACATACGCAAAAATCTTTACGACAAATATTGGCTAGATGCAAACAATGATCAACCCCCTCCAACACTGTTACAAGCCAACTTCTCTCGCGACACGTTAATTGCCAATATTGCGTTGACATAGGGCTTGGCCCTAGGCAAACTGTAGCCTGGTTGGTTGGGGAGGGTTTACTGGGGATCTGTTCAGTCACAGTCGTCTTCAAGTGCGTTGTAGTAGCAGCAACAGAAAGTAATGAAATGCAAGGCGTTATCAGCGTTATCATCGTCATCGTTATCGCAATTTTACACCTTACGCTTATCAGTCACACCTAGCGAGCCTGGTTCGCGGAACAGCGGAAAGTGAAACAAGTTTCAACGTGTCCCACCTCGATAACAATTTCAATTTTACACAACATTTAGTTTCATTTCATTCGCCTGCTAAGCTAAATAGAGCAAGCAAGAATGCTGCAGTCGCATCAGCTCGACTGAAAGATACCCTGCACCCAGCTGATAGCAATGAAAAGATCACTGTGACTTAACTTGAGTCTTTCTTACATGATCTTGATGAAATTTGAGCAGTTGTTAAATCATCATGATCATGAACTATAAGTAATTAATTAAAAGGTTTTACGTGTGGCTTTCATTGTTATCGATTTGTATCGATATTTTCGAAACGGGAGCAGTTATACATAAAATGAAATTATTTGATCTGCATGTGGTCTAAGAGAACTTAACTTCTGTCAGATCTGACTCGCTTGTTGCTGCTGATCGAGAATAGATATAGCCCATGGAGTAGCCCAGATCTTGCACTTTTGTTTAGTCTTCTTACTAATTTTTCGTGGGTTCAGAAACCTTGTTTTTCTTTATTTTTGATTTATTTGTATTTTTTTTTGCTTAGTCAGAAATTATGTCTTCTTTTGTTATGTGATATACATGTTTTTCGTCGGGTTGGGCCAGACAGTCTGGGCTGTGTTGTTTGCATGCACCCGATTCCGTGGCATTGTGTAACGGATTGCTCCCATCCGGCGCTGGCTCAGCGCATTTCATAAATTGTGTCGATAATCAATTTAAAGTGTTTATCGTTCAAATTTCAATTCTTTCCAAGTCAAATCCGAAACCATTTCGATTCAAGCTTGAAAATGCTTATCTTGTATTTTGCTGACTATCTTCTTGCGACTCGCACTGAGATCATTTTGATGTTGATGTTCACAAAGATGATGATTATGATGATCTTATTTGATCGGCTCTCGTTTGGCGCGTGCTGCGGTCAATTATTGATACGGATGTTGCCATTTGCCACTTGCCACTTGCGGATTATTCGAGACCGTAATTGGGGCGTATTTAATTGTATTTTTCTTCTTTTTTTTTTGTGTTCTGGTTTCGTGTGATATGGCAAGCCTATCAGCTTACAATGAAACCCAAAAAGCCGAATGACAAACAACACACACCTCTTATAACATTTAGCGAATTCCAATTGAATATGAATTGTAATTCTTATAATGAATAAAGTTGTTGTCGTATTTCAAAGGAAGTTCTTTAATTTCCTTGGAATTTACTCAACTCATGAGTCGTCTATAAATGATGTAAATAAATAAACAAATTTACTATAGAAGAAGAAGTATTCATTGCAATAGCTTTTAAAAATGAGAGAGAAAATTACACCGATCTCAAAGAGATGCATTCTTTATCTGTACTCAGAAAATCATAAATACGCGGAATGCAATAGAAGTTGCGGGTAACCTTTTAGCACAATATTGCCAGGCCAGAATTACCATAAATTAGTAACAAATGGCAAATGGGAAACACTGCGACATTTTCTATGTAAATTGAGCAGTTTGCCAGACGTGCATAAAGTTGCACAATTCGCAGTGCGAATATACAAAGTGGCCATAAACTTGCCACACTTTATGAACTGCATTTGCAGTTGTGCTTGCAGCTCGGATTGCTACAAAGTGGCACTGTCTTCAATGCAACGCTTCCTCATGCAGCTCGTGCAACGACCTACATCAAGAAACGCCTCAAAGGCACGCAGCAAATACGATCTCAGCAGTAGCCCAGCAGCCCGACTTAGTCACGTCGCAATGACCCACTCCAGAGTGGGTGATGGGCAGGCAGGGGACCGAAAGAAGTCATAGAGGAGAGACAGGGGTAGAGAGAGAGAGAGAGGAGTGGCACTCCACTCCTTCAAGCGTTCGCTGTGTGTAAATGCAACTCTTTCATTGTGGCAAGTCTCTGGCAAACAGGCCTAAACAAACTGAACGCAAAAGTAAACCTTGAAACCATTCAACAGTTTCCTTATTAGCGTCAACCGCAGCCACACAGTCGACAGTCAAAAGCGCTGACGACGTTGCCGACGGCTCTGCTGACGACGCTGCTGACGACTCTGCTGCGACAACAGCTAAATTGATAAGGAAAGCATAGCAATGAATTCAATATCAGTGCGAAACACCCAACACAACACAACACAACAATACCAATACAACAACAACAGTAACAACAACAACAGCAACTACTAACACTCCTCCACATCATGCTGTGTGGTGGGTTTGATGGTTGCTGCGCGTGCTGGCAGCGACAGCAGCAGCCGCAGCAGCAACGGCGACAGCAGCAACAGCAGCAGCAGCAGAGCGATCGCATTGGGGCCGTCAGAGTCACAGTCAGATTCGGTCTGCCAAACAAAACGACAGCGTCGTCGTCGCATAGGCAACAAATTGAGCTCGGCCAGCGAGATTTGCTGCCCAGGAAACCCACAGCCCACTACCCACAACCCACAGACCACAACTTAAACCACAGCCCACAGGCCAACAGCCGTTAAGACTTGTAACTGACAATCGGCTAATCTGGCCAATACAGTTAATTTATTTAATTTGCAACTACAAAACCATAAAAAAAAAAAAACACAAAAAGAAAAAACGCGCGCGGAAAAGAAAAGTAAAGAAAAAAAAGAAAAGAAAAGAAAAGCAAGGAAAACATTACACGTGGTTTATTTACTCCTTAAATTTCTAAGCACATTGGATAATTGCATTTGACGTGAAAATGCCGCAAATCGTGAAGGGGATTTTAGAAAGCAAATCCAATTGATAAATGCACGACTATAAATAAATGCGCAATTTCTGTATGCCAAGTGTCAAAAAATAAAAATAAATAATAAAAATAGCAAAAATAAAAATAGGAGATAAAAAATCAAACTGAACAATGCCAAGCGACTGTGTGAAAATTGTTTGATTGAAATACAAAATATATAACCGAAAAATCTCATGTTTTTCAAGCTGATGTGTTGATCAGTTCATGCCCGAGTGATAAGGGCGCAAATAGAACAATATCAATATAAAAACAAAAACGGATTCAATGGCGCTAAGAACAAAATAAATATTTACTCCAAAAGAGAATGCAAAGCGTGAATAATTTTTGTTAACAACCAATAAATACTTACTAACAGCAATAAACTATGAATTATCAAAATATTATCTAAATATTATCAATGAGTTTATTTATTAACTAAGCTGAATTGAATCAAAATTAATTGTGACTGCTGAGAGACAATTGACATAAATATTTTCACTAGGAAACAATCAAGTTAAACTAATTTTTTAACCAATATCTGATTGTATTAAATGCTACCATAAAACTAAAAAAAAAAACGTTGAATTTATTTCGAATTTAATCCGAATAATTGTGTTTGCCAAGAAAGAGTTAAAAAAAAACATATTTGCACTAAAAACATTCAAATCCGAAAGCTAAAAAGTTATTTCTCTAACTAATTCCACACCGAAAAACTCCAAATGTATTCCGATAAACTGTGAATTAACTTAAAATCAACTCTGAATACCAAAAGACAGTTTTCATTAAAAAAAAAGGAAACATAAAAGAAAAGAAAAGCTAAAACTTAATTTAACTAATCAAACTCGGACTACATCTAAATGCCTAAATAAAACTCCGAAGAAACTCCGTCAAAATCAACTTGAAAATTGGAAAATGCGGACTTTTAAGCGTGGCTTCTTCTGCTCGGATCTGTCCCTGCGTTATCCGTATCGGGAATGCACGATTACTGTACCGATGCTGCTGCTGATGATGCTGCTGCTGCCGATGCTCTTCATCAGCGTCGTGGAAATCATGCGCATCTGTCGCCAGCTGCGCATGCGTCGCTATATGCGCAACTTGTGGCGCTCTGAGGCGACGTTCAGCTTTGGCTTCATTGCCACCTTCCTGACCACGGAGCTGGCCAAGAACATGGTGGGTCGACTGCGTCCGCATTTCTACAACGCTTGCCAGCCGCGTCTGAACGATGGCACCAGCTGCTCGGATGCCCAGAATGCCGATGTGTACATGCAACATTTCTACTGCAGCAATCGGAATCTGTCGTCGCAACAGATACGCGAGTTGCACGTGAGCTTCCCCAGTGCGCACAGCAGTCTTAGCTTCTACTCGATGTGTCTGCTCGCGTTCTATTTGCACAGCGTGTGGCATCATGGGCGTGGCTGTGTGCGCGTCATGCGGCACATTACACAATTCCTGCTGCTGATGGCCGCGTGGTATGTGTCGCTGAGCCGCGTCGCCGACTATTGGCACCACTGGTCGGACGTGCTCGCCGGCGCTGTGCTGGGCGTTGTCTATGCCACAATCACCGCTATTTACGTGGGCGATCTGCTGCACTTGCGACGCCATGCGGCAAGTCCCGTTGCACTCGGCTACAGTGGTTGCAGTGGCTGCCACTGCCACTGTCACTGCCACCATCAGCGTCTGCTGCACCATCATCATCAGCAGCTGCTGCAAGCCGAGAATAACAATTCGACCACATCGACAAAGGTACATTTTTTGGCTGCCGCTGCCGTTGCAACCACAACGACAACAACAACAACTGCAGCGGCCGAATCATTGGACAACTGTGGAACCCACAACGTCGTCAACGATCTTGATGAGCTACACGATGGCAACGAGAGCGATGTGGACATCGATGGCTACAGCGAAGGTGATGTTTTCCACAAACTGAACACCTACAGCGACGTTGGCGTCGATTACGTTCTAGGCCCATCACGTGCCACAACACCAACAACAACAACACCAACCACACCAGCAACAACAACAATACAAGCCTTGCCACCACCGTCCAGTGTCTTGCCAAATGCGCTCTAAGTCGACTTATCTGTCTTTGGTTGGATTTCGAGACGGTACGGCAGCTATTTCGACTATTTTTCCATTAGAAATCGATATATATATATATATATATGTATGTGATAAGCGCACTGTTTACCTGATATGCACATGCCGCTTTACTCTGAAAATGATTTACGAAATCCGCTGCGTGCTGGCGACGCCAACACCAACACCAACGCCGACGCCAACGCCGCTGACATGTTGTGCAACTGTCTGGCAACGCTGCGTTTGCTCACAATGGTCAAGCAGCAGGCTGAAGAAACCAAAATTGATTATGCTGATTAGCTTGTTAAAAATAAGTAATTGCAGCCACTTTCATTTTGCATTTTTGCGCAAATGATCTTGCAGCGCTGCCGAATTTATCGCATTTTTTTCAAGCATTGTATTTGCCGACTCAATGATATTATTATTGGCGGCAAGTTTTCCACGGCTGCAGCTTGTGTTGTGCTTCGCTTTGTTTGTAAACAATGTCGCAAACGGCGCTTTGAAGACAGACGGCAGACGGCTGATGGCAGACGACAGACTGCCCAATCAGCTGAGACAATCTTGCAGCAGCGACGCTGCAGTTAACGCTGGCGTCGCTGTCGTCGTCGCCGTCGCCGTCGGCTTTGAGTAGTTTTGACTGCACCGCTTGGCGATAGTCGGCCAGTCGATAAAGCACTATAAATAATGTACAAAATAATAAAGAAGCAAAACATGGTCAACACTTTATGATGATGATGATGTTGATCATGATGATGATGATGATGATGATTAAGTGCAGTTGTATTTGTATTTGTAGTTTTAGTTTTAATTGCGGTTAAACCGCATTAACGATTTATTGTTACTGAAGATTTATGAACAAAAACTATTTATTAGCGTCTATTATAATTATTTGTTTTTATGTTAATTATGTTTAGATTTTGTTTGTCGTTGTCGACAAGTGTTTGCTCTACAAAATAAATAAAACGATTTATGTGTAAAATGATTTATGGCATTTTCCATTTTTGGCTGCGACTTTCAGGTTCTTTCTACGTTTTCATTAATTTTTTTTTTTTTTTTTTATTAGTTGCTGCAATTAATGCCAATTAGCTGGAAATTTGTACGAGTCAGCTGTGGGGAAAAAAAGAAATAAAATATATGAAAAATGTTCTATTTACTTGAGTCTTCTAAAGTGGAAATCACCTAGAAGTAAAAGTGCGCCAGATAAGGCAAAGACAAGCCGCAAATTCTGATAGCTGTTGTTGATAAAGCCAATATGTAATTGTGGTTATAATATGCCCTGTAGAAACACAACAAACTCGCAAGTATTTAGTCGTGTTTCCTATCTAATCACTAGATAAAGACTTGCTAGTATATATATATAAAGCACACATACATACAGATATATATATATATATACTAAGTAAACGTTGAGGAATTTCACAATCACAAGTTGTAGAATTGTAGTATTGTCTCCCGAGGAGAGTGGGAGTTGAAACGCGTTCTGTTTCGCATAACTCAACTGATAAATAAATCAAAACAAACAAAGTTCCATTATGATTGGGCATTCAGGAGAAGTTTGGCGCCAGCAACTTGAACCGTGAAGTAAACAATAAACTTGAGTTGCTATTTAATTGATTGGCATCAACATTACATTCTGTTATTTGGCTCAAACCGAGTCTTTTGCCATTTTTTTACACTTTTTTTATACTTTTTATTTACGGTTGAATTATAGAGTATATTTTGTTTTTGTGCTCTTCTGCAAAGATTTAGTTAGACTCCCCAATTGTTTAAAGTCTGTTACCGGTGACTGCCCCTAAAGATCGATAAGAATCCCCCATAACCGATATACCTAATGCTGTAAATCGATAAAAAGCATATAATAAATGTAGAAGGTATTTTGGTCTCACTTGTTTGATAGTTTGAGCATTTTAATCTGTCGCTTAAAGCCAATTTCCTGTGTCAGCTGAATCAATTTGCTGGCCACAAATTCATTTTGCCTAAATTACTACCTTCCCCGCGCATGTACAATCAAGTGAGTTTGCCAATCTATATTGATTTTTTGCCCTCAGCCCAGCCAGCGATTGATGTTTTGCAATTGAGGCGCATTAGCCACTCACCTAGATATGCATACACTTAGCGAAAGATACATGGATACCGATACAGATGCATTAAGAGATATCTGCCGCTTTGAACTTCCCCTATCCCCCTCTTCCCTCCCTCCTATTCATACGAGTTGAGCACAATAAAATACCATTGTGGTTGTGAGGGGGTGCCGGAGACGACGAAACTGTAATGCAACCACAAAGTATTGCAAAGCCATAGAAATCAAAGGCAAAACTAAAGTCGAGCAATTTTCTCTTAAGCACATATGTCGTAGAGATATTCGAATACCAAAAAAAGGCAAAAATAAAATAAAAAAAAAATCTATCTACTAATACAAAACAATTGAGTGCAATCTTGCACATAAATTTCGACTGTGAGTCGCCCCCCCCCCGAGGTGGATGTGGCAACTAAGTATGCACTGCGGAATGCAGCTGCTGCAATTTTACTCGGTTTTAGTTTTTTTTTTTTGGCTTGCCACCCCCCCAAATTACAATATCTGTTTTCTTGCCTTTGTACCTTTTTTAAACGGTAAATGTGTGCAACCGTGGGCAAGAGCAAAAGTCAGGTTGCATAATCATTTTTTCCTACTCTTGTAGAATGCATATTCAATTTAAAAAATTGAACAAATTTTTTTTTTTTAATACAAGGTAAAAATACTGAAGTCATGTAAATGTTGAAAAATGGGTTAGCTATAAAATTATCAAAAAAAAAAATGCTAGTTTTTAAATGGGTCGGTAAAAATAATAATTTATATATAATAAATAGAAGTGGGGCTTTCGTAGCTTTGCATATATATATAATAATATATATTTAATAAGTGGATGTGATGTGTGGGCATATTAAGACTAAACATAGTAAGTATAATTCTCATTAAGAAATAACTGTCATTTAAAGATATTTAATATAGGCAGTTGCCTAAGATAAACTTTTTTTCTAGTTAAATAATATACTTATGTACAAGTACTTCTAGTAAGCAGACTAACTATAACTAAATTAGGTGACATCGCATAGAAATCAGTATTAACTCAATGTAAAATGCAATTATTGAAGTATTTGGCAATATTTGGCAAATTTTGCACATTTTTCCACTGTGGCTGGCAGACTGCTTAAATCGACGCATAGTTTGTCTCTGCTACTCTATTGACATTTCCTCAAAAACTTTTCTCATCAATTCAAGTCAGAGTGCGGCAGTATGTGTGTGGTGTGTGTGTGTGGTGTGTGTGTGGTGTGTGTGTGTGTGTGATGTGTGTGTCTGTTGGTGTGTAAGGAAATGTGTGTACGTGTATTGGTACTTGTAAATACGACAACGTTTATTGTCATTGGAATTATTACTGCCACATGCGAGTGGAGCCCAAGCAAGCCAAGCAACCAGTCAGCCTGTCTTTCCTCCTGTCCTCCAGCGTCAACTTCATTGTAGGTAGAAATCACAATGGTTGCTAGGGGAAAACCTGTTTTTCAGTTTTTGGATTTTCTTTGCCGAGCATAGCAGCGTCAAGCGGTGGGTGGCGGAGGAGGAGTAGAAGGCGGAGGAGGAGGAGGAGGAGGAGGAGGAGCAGCAGTTGTGACGCTCTACTAGCAAATGTCTTACGTATTTTTTTGGCGTATGCGAAAATTTAACGAATCATGAAATACGATAATTGAACCATGCACAAGAGTTCGTCGCCGAAGACGAAGACGACGATGATGACGATGATGACGATGATGACGATGATGACGACGATGATGACGACGCCGACAGCGGAGGCATCTTCTTCAACTTCAATTTCAGCATCGCTGGCTGCTTTGTTTGTCTCCCTATATGTACGTGTGTGTGTGTGTGTGCATGTGTGTGTGTGTGTGGCTGCGTATGTGTGTGGCATAATAAAGTTTTATTGTAGCCAAAAGTTGCTACCACTCTTTCACGGTAGTCAGGCGTAGTTTTTTGGGCATGTGCAGCACTCGTAATTGTTTGTGGTGTGTGTGTGTGTGAGTGTGTGTGTGTGTGTGCTTGCCTCCGGGAGCCATACGATTGAGATTGAGAGAATGGCAAACTAAACATTCAGATGCCAAGAAATTAGCGCGCTATGTGTGTGCGTGTGTGTGTGTGTGTGTGTGTATGTGTGTGTGTGTGCGTGTGTGTTACACAACAATGTCATGGTTATCGTCAATGCCTTTGATTTCATTTTCAGTAATTTAAGCTGCGGCTTTTGGGTATCTGCCAGTTGTGGGGCATACTTTTAGGCAGCGCGTTAAATTTTCAAAGCTTTGGCTGGATGAGCGTTAAAATGTCAATTTATGTTTTATGACTCTAAATGAGCAGTCCTCGAATTAATAGAATCTGCCTGGCAGGTCTGGCTCATAAAGAGCATTTAAGCCTGCCTCTTGGTGGATTTTATTCAAGTTCAATGGTTTTGGCAGAATGAATAATTTATTTGTTTGTTAAAAATGCTGATCGAAAATGAAACATTGTTTCAAGTTTTTGAAAAGATTAATACGAGAGTTGAGTAATAACAAAGTCTATAAAAATAAATATATATTCATATATTATATAAATCTTTGATAATGCCCATTTTCTTATTTATTTGCTGCATTTAAAAAAATAATTCTTAATATATTTTATTTAGATTTATTAATTTTATCTTCATTTTTGTGGTGGTGACAATTTTCAGCTTATTCTGCTATTTCTATTTTCTATCATATTCCTATTGTAATTAAATGTTTTTCATTCAAGCTTACATTTTAAGCAGATTTTACTTGAATCCGGAATCCAGAATAGTTATATTTCTTTGCATAGATTTTATGATATCTGTGTGTATATTTATAATCTTTACTTAATAGGTAAAAGTAACTGCATAGTTACAGGCGGGGCTTAAAACCGCAGCTCAAGTTGCATGCCTCAGATTAGCGCCCGGGGCTATGCACTGGAATTGTGGAATTGAGGGACTCCTGGCTCGGCTCGGCTCGGCTCAGCGAATGCGATTGCGAGTGCCTTGGATGTTTCTGAGCTGCTTCTCCACCTCCTTCAAGTACTTGTCGGGCAGACAGTTCTCGCGCATGGCCGCAATCTTGGAGCTGATCACCTGCTTGATGTTTGCGTCGCGTTGACGCTCCTGCTCCAGCCACTTGTGCATGCGGTCCTGTTCGATGTCCTGCAGGCGACGACGCTCCTCCTGCCGGTCCGTCATCTGTTGCCTGAGATCGCGCCGATATGTCTGACTGCGCATCTCGCGCTCGCGATCCAACCTCTTCTGCTTCTCCTCCTCCTTGCGCATGCGCTCCAGCAGCTTGTTGAACTCCTCCTCAGCATGGGCGATCTCCTGTGCGATGCGCTGCTTCATCTCCTGCGCCTGCTGGGCCCGCGACTCGAGCAGATCGCGTTCCGCTTCTCGCTTCGCCATTGCCGCTTCCTTTTCACGCTGGCGATATTCGCGCTCGACGCGATTGCGTTCCTTGAGATACTTGAGCTCCTCGTTGGTCTGGCGCGTCTCCTGCGCCTCGACGGCTATTGTGTAGATGCGTTGCTGTCTTCGCTCAAACTCCTTCTTCACCAGCTTCTGTATGTCCTTCAGCTGGCGTTCCTTCTCCTGCTTCTCGCGCATGTAGGCCGCTACGCGCAGATCCGCCAAACGCTCCTGCTCGGAGAGCATCGTCTTGAATACGTTGGACATTTCGCGGATGCGTTGCAACTCCTCGCGGAAGCGCAACTTGCGCATCTCCACAAAGTTACGCTGACGCTCCTCCTCCTCCCGCACCAGTTCGCTGGCCTTGCGCAGATGCTTGGCCTCGGCGGCCACCCGTTGGGCCTCCAGGAAGCGCTTGTTCTCCCGCTCGGTCAACTGCTGGCGAATCTCCTGGGCGTACTTGGCTCGCTTCTCGATCTCGAGCCGTTCGCGTTCATCCTCCGCGTTGAGTGCCTCCTTGGCTCGCTCGTTGACCATCTTGGCCAGGCGTTCGTCATCCTCGCGCAGTGCTTTGGCCAGAAGTTGCTTCTCCTGGATTTGTGCCTCTCGCACCGCTTTGCACTTGGCGTCGAGTATCATGCGATTGATCTGCTTCACCTCCTCCTCCTGCTCCTGCTTGGCGAGCAGAGCGCGACTTAGCACCGTATTCTGTTCATCCAGTGCCTCGTTGAGATCAGTGCTCGGCTCGGCCTCCTTCGGATCAGTCTTGCGAGAGGCGTCGATCTGCTTGAAGCGTCGCCGTGTCTCCTCCACCACTTGCAACTGCCTGCGATGCTCATCCTCGGTCTGCTCGACCACCTTGAGCTTATCATGAATGCTCTCCACCCTGCACTTGCCCGTCAATCGCTTGAGATCATTCGGCCGCAACACGAGCTCCTTGCTGCCCTGGTTGCGTCTTCTCTCCCTCTCGTTGCGCTTCAGCTGCTTCTGATCGAAGGCGGCAAACTGCTCGCTCCGCCGTCGAAAGGGCACATAGCTCTGGCTAGGATTCTGGGAGGTAAATGGTCTATATCCGCCGGGTGGCGGACGATAGGCGGCAGTCTGAGCTCGAGCCCTCAGCTCCTGGCACTTCTGCTTCAGCTGCGACTCGGCGCTCACAAAGCGCACATTACAAGCCGATAAGCAAGGCATTTGCGACGGGCTAACAGCAATCAAACGGGAATCAACACTATCCAACGGAATCGGTTTCAATGCCAAGAAATTGAGCAAGAAAATAACCCATCCTCGTTGTCCAGTTGCTAAGCTTTCAATATGTTTGTTTGTTTATGCAACAAGCGATGGTCACCTTGGCAGCAGGCTGGTAACCCTGGCATTGCACCAGGCGCGAAAGTGTTTGCACCTCTATCAGAGATACACTGATCAAAATTTCAATTACATATAATTATTTTCATAAATTCACTCAACAAATTTCCGATTCCACAAATTAATATTAATTTTTTCGAGCAACTTTTTAAAATTCAAATTTCGATTAGAATTTAATTTAAATTTGCAAAGCTGTTGAACTAAAGTCACTTTTTTTTACTGTGTATTTGCAAGTGAAGCCAGGACAGAGAAATTATGTGCTCAGGTTGTTGATTGAATTGCAATTGATTTTCTAATGTTGGTCTGTTGTGGAGTATGTGAACCATTAGTCACTCAATAGAAGATACAATTTTGAAACCATATTTTTAATGGGGGAGTTTCCTTTGGTGTTCAAAACATGAACCGTTCCGCCTAGTAGCTGTTTGCCTTGTTATCTGTTTTGCCCACTGGCCGAAACATATAAGCAAAGCCAACGTTTTTGCCATAAGCATCAGAAATGCAATGAAGCATAAGTCTGGAGAGATTCAGACGTATGAATTATGCGAAATGCTCAAGGACAAAACGTCTAGCAGACACACACAGCACACACAACACACACAACACACACACCCACACACAGCTGCCCAATGATGTGTGTGAATGTGTGAAAGAAGTCAGCAATTATGCGGCATACAAAAGCAATAAGCCAACAAAATTCACACATTGTGGCCATTGGCCATAGCAAAACGAGACAAGTGACCAGTGTGACTATGGTGTGTGTGGTGTGGGTTGAGACCTCACTTGGACTTGGCAACTGGACATTTGAGATATCAGCAGAGGATGTCCGAAAACAGAGAACACCCACTGTCTATCCAACCGCTCAGCCAAATGCCCATCAGGGCGTGTTGCAAGTCTAAGCTGGCAAAGTTTACGGCCACACATACAAATTAACTTGACCAGAGCAACAGACAGCCCACACTGCCACGCCCACATTTTCAAATCCAGACAAAGAGAGAGAGAGAGGGAGAGAGAGAGAAATAGTAAGGGAATGTGATGTATAAAGCGTGGGTAAGTGAAAATTTAAAACCCAGCCAGGTCCCATAGATTTCAGCTGACTTTAATAAAAAAAAAAAGAAAGAAAAGTTTTTCTTGCAACTAAAACTTTCATTTGAAGTTCTCTGAGCTTTTCACAGATGCATTCAGGCGTTAAAGTCAACTTAAGCTCGGGCTCCCAGGCAGACTGCCATTTACCATTCCATTCCACTGGGGAGTGGGTGGTCGGTCGGCCTTCCCATTGGGAGAGCACAACGCACTGCCGCAAATGTAAATTGACATTTTCGAGTGCACGATTGAGCAAATTAACGGTTTTTTTTTGCCTTCTTTTTTCCGGTCTCTGCTGAGTGTAATGGCCAAGTCAAGTTTTGTTGGATTAGCAGCGTGGCCCGCCATGGCAGCGAGGGTCACGCATGGTCGCTTCGCACATGGGCTGCTTGATTATATGCAAAATGGGGCCAGAGGGGGCGAGTTGAATGCGGGCCCGGCTCAAGGACATCATTAGGGTATCCTTAGCCCCAGATCAGGACCTAATTTATGCGCCTTTGGCCGCTACTAGGTTAATTGGAGTTAAGCCGTGTCGTGGCCCAGGCGTTTATTAAGCCAAGATTGTTTATCTCATGCCGAGTTTGGCTAATACTTTTACGGGTTTCCTCTCCTATTTGCAGGTAAGAGTGGTAGATAAAGACATAAGCGAGCAGCTGACACTTCGCTGAGTGCGCCGACACATTCAAAGCGCCGGGCCAAGTTTTTGCGGAGGCAGACAAATGCTTGGAACTTAAACCAAGTCCATGACGAAGAGTCAGGCACTGAAATTGATAGACTTGAGCACAAAAACTTTGGACGTTTGCACTCTCGTGCCGAGAGTGTCTAAGTGCATTACCCATACGCCGTGTGTACACAAACGTAGCAGCCAGCAAACCCAACGGGCCTATTACAAAAGCTATAAGAGCAGCCATCAAATGCCTGTCTGCCATATATGTATTTATCATATATATATATGTACATAGATGATTCATTGTAGAGGGAGTATTTGTGGCAGACGTGCGTGTGTCGACTTATTTGCATAAATTATGTGTAGGTAGTGTAGTCACTGGACCCACTTGTATGGGGAACGGTAACAGTTCGCTGCTCGCTGCTGTCTACGCGCTGCCAGTGGCAGGCAGTGGAACCGGCGCCAAGCTACTTACCAACTCAGCGCTGCTGCTGCTGCTGCTGCTGCTATTTATATAAATTTCCCACTGACAGACATTTCGATTTCCGGCTGCAGATTCTCAATGTTGTGTTCGTTTACATTTTCATAAACATGTGCTGGGATTTTGGCCCCGTGCTGGCTGACAGCTTTGCATAACTTTGTGTATGCGAATTATTGATCGTTGGCAGCTTTCAAGTTCGCTTCGCAACAAATTCTACACTCAAAGTTACCACTCCCCCCCCCCACCCCCACGCAAGCAGCATCCCTTTGCCAGCAACTTGAGCAATTTCATGCAGTTTCCTGTCGTCGTCTTCTGTGATGTTCACGGAGCACATCATTTATACTCCTGCGACTCTCTGCTCGTACGCATATTTTTATTTATTTGGCAACATATTTCGTAACCAGCTCCCCCTGCTGTTGCTTTCCACACATATTACTCATACGCACCATTGAACTTATGTCTTGGTCAATTTTTTATTGCATGCGCAGCCATATCCTTTATCCTCCTTCTTGAGGGTTTTTGAGGGTTACGCACTCGTGGCACATACATTTTCACACATTTCCATTGTAAATGATTATTTTTTTATCCTGTGCAGCCTTTTGATACATTTCAGCTCATATGTTAAAGTCCAAAATGTTTGAAAATGCCTTGATTAATTGGACCAAATGACATACAGAACTTGAGCCCAATAATAGCCGTAATTGAGGTACTCATGTTTTTGATTAGTTTTTGTGCACTGAGTTGGCACTGAGTTGATTTGCCATCAATAAATCAAAATCTTAAAGTTGTTGCACTAATTATTTTATTATTTTGCCCTAAATATTTGATTTGCATCTTACTCGTAATCAGAATCAGAACACAGATTTATTGAGATTTATAAACGATGAAATCAATCAGACAAGTTCAACTACTCAACGAATAATCATAGAGACATGAATGTCATCATTCTCATACTTTTTCAGAGCAGGAGCTCTTTCATTCTTTATTTATTTTTTTTAAATTTACTTTGCCTTACCATTTTTCGGGCCTGCAAACAAATTTCATTGGAATAAAATTTTAATCATGCTGCAATACGAAACTGGTTTTTGTTACGTACTTTTGCATTTGCTGGCCCAGCCTTGTGCTGTCTTTGCCCTCTTCGCCAATCTCGAGCATGGCACACACGAAAAAAAAATATAATTTATATTTAATCCAGCACACAAACAAGTCATTAACCATATTTGGCCAGCCAACGGAACAGCAGTCCAAACTCAGCTTCTCTCTGTCTTACCATTGCCATTTTATGCATGTAAAAATGAAATTTATGAAGACTGCAGTAAAGAATTGCCTGTCTGTCTGTCTGTCTGGGTGTCTGACTGCCGCAACTTGCCTGTTTGCTGCCGTTAAAGCTGCTCCAAGAAACCCTTTTGCTTATTTATGGCGATATTGATAAGATGTGGGGTCAGCTTGGTCAATTGCTGGCCCATTGTGAGTCACTTGATCAAAGCGTCACCAACATCATTTGTTTGGCATTCGATGTAGGCACTCTACAATTAAATGCTTGGAACCCCCGCCGCGTGTGTTGAACACAATTTGAATTCGCTTCAATAGCGCATCGCTGAATCAACAGCAAATTCTCAGAAATTCATTTGAATTGATTTCGAATTCACCGAGTGTATTATGCTCATAGAAATATCATCTATATATATGTACCAGTACCAGTACCAGTGCGCAGTACGTGCAACATTCCAGCTCCGTTTCAATATTTTCGCATTTCAGGGCAACAAACAACTGACGTTGGCGCCAACGTCGACGCCAGCAGCGACTGCGATTGCGATTACGTGATGTTTTAATCAATTTACGTTTGCCACATTTGCAAATTGGCTGGTGACGCCTCTCTCAACATCCATGTAAGCAAAATGAACTGCCAAGTGCAAAAATGATGGCAAAAGCGCTGTCTGAATTCTGCCTATGCAAATTCGCGAATGTTTTTAATTGATTAACGAAGTGCAAAGTGTGCCAGGCCCATCCAGGCATCCGCTGTTGCCACATTGTATTGCTGTTAATATTATTGTTAATAATGTTGCTGTTCAATATTCCCTGGCAGCATTACAAATTCTTTGGGTGTTCGTTGGCATAACTCAAATTAATAAATTGCAACTGACAGCCCAACGTTGACAGCGGCGCCTACAAACTTCTCATGGAATGAGTATAAATACTATTTTATTAGTTGCTGCTGCACTTCCTCCTTTTGCTGCAGACTATACAGAAATGTTATTGAAAGTCAACAATTGCGTGTACTTTGTTTTAATAATGAGTGCATTGAGTTAATATAGATTGTCTATAAATTTAATCACCAAAAACTGAGAATTTTCTCTTGAACAACTTCATTGTATTCTTTTCATCCACTCTTTATGAGTTTAGGGTAGAAAAACCCTAGTTTCGCAATTAATATGGACACAAAAAACTTGATAATAAAGTCGTGAAAAGTATATGCATAAATGTTTAAGACGAGAACAGCGTTTCGGGCTTTCTTCTTTCATTTAAATGCTTAAGGGTTGTAATGTAATCTGTGTTATTAAGGTTATTAAGGTTTATAAGACTTATGACTTGTGTTATTAG